ACGCTCTGTCAGAGAGAGCAGATTAGAACTTGCAGTGGAAAATAGGAGCTGGAGAGAGATAAAAAGGCTTGCAGGGAGGTAGAAAGTCCTTTATATAGGCCACTCCATATTTTGGTCAAAACTTTTCAGATAAACTAGCACTTATGACTCATATTTCATTGTATTTTTATATTAAAATATTTTAAGCAAACCTGGCTTGATATCCAATAGTTGAAGTTACAGATTGTCTGTTAGACTAAAACCTACTATCTATCTCACTAACACAAAACTTCAAAATAAATTATTCTTGGCATCTATCCATTCAGCTTCAGTACACACTTGATCTACCACTCTAACTGTAAATATTCATATAGTGGCAAATACAAATCTTGCAGCTATTCATACAAAAAATCATCCTCTGTATTTCCATTGAAGGTTCCACAAAGGCCCGCAGTATCATCTTTCCATTGTCCATCCACTTGAAGGTAAAGCCTCAGTCCTTCTCTGTCGTACAGTATCTGTAATCCAATGTGTGTCTTTACTTGAAGAAATACAGAGGAGAGTTTCCGTATTTCAAATAACTCTGGTGAGTAAAAACAGAGATTGTTGAAAGGCAAAGGAAACCTGCTTGTAATTTGCATGTTGATTCTTGTCATTTCACTGCTTTTGTTTTATATAATTTTTATCTAAGTTACATTTTTTCCTATTAAGGCCCTATTTTCCCCTAATCATTGATTTCGCACAGAAGGTTGTACTGATTCAGACTTTAAAGAAGAAAACAAGAAACTTATGACAGTCACCACACTTTTTAAAAATGCATCAAGAGTTCACTGGAATATTCATAAAGGTTAACTAAAAGTAAATCAATTTAAAGATACAAACATCGCAGACCATTTTAGACAAACTAATCCCAACACCAGCAATGCACTTCCTGTATTAAAGCCTTTTTCAGGAAATTCCTGAAAAGTCAAGGCCCCACAGACATCAAATGTACTAATGATTTGCATATAAAGATCTCATTAAAGCTAACACTGAATCTCACAGAACAGAGTCACATATTCATTTGAAGAATCTTGGTAATACCTTTCAGAGGGAGAGATTTAAAAACTCAAAGCAAAATGAAAAAGAAACAAAAGAAATTTTTTGTCTGAAAATCTGTAGCTTATCTGTAACAGGCAAGAGGGCTCCTTTCACGTATATTTACTCAAGTTGCTTACAGAAAAAAGGAAGATAAATTATTCAGTTTAAGAATCAGAGAAAATAATTTCCCCTCAGAAAAGAACTAACCAACCTTGCAAATGTGAGGGATGGCATTTGGACTTGTTAGAGATAGAACATACTCAATCTTAAAGTAAGCAACACTAGCCCAATACAGCTACTGTACAACTCCTACCATTAGTGTAAAAAGCGCATCAGTAGTTAACTTGTGAAACATTTCATAAAAGAATAACAATGTTGATAGTAACAATACACCACTTAACTTCAGTATGTTAGCTATATTGACAGTATTACAACATACACATAGGCCATTAAAATACTGCTTTAGTGCTCGATAGGAGTTATATGCTTATATGTTATTCCTTACCATCTGCGTAAGGCAGGTTAATTTTGTATTGGTCATATACCAAAACATCTCCTGAATGAGTCAGAGTCACTTGCCTCTTGGGGTCCTGCTTAAGAATAAGGCTGATTGATTGGATACATGATCCATCTTGGTTCTACAAGTAAAAGCAAAACAAAACTTAACAAAAAAAACAAACAAAACCAAACTTAAGTAGGATGAATGTTAAATAATTGTGCAAGTAAAGCTATAATTAGTGGGAAATCAAAAATTTTCAGCTGTATCTTGCTTCTTAGCAGGGTGCACTTGTAAAACATACAGCTTTACAGTTAAGAAAACAGTATTTTGAATGAATTCACATGTATGTTTAAATATAACGCCAACCTGTTATGCAAATACAGCTCAAAAGTGGGATTTGGAAAGAGAAACAATTCTTACATAGGTTAGTACAAAGACACCTGCCATTCAGGAGACCCCCTGATTAAAGACCCACTGAGGCTGAGTTTATGCTCACAAACAAGGCTGCATTACCTATGCAGCAGCATACAGAAAACCAGATTCGTACTTTAAAATGTCCTGAATCTGAACTCAGGTTCTTTTAAAGCATATTTAAGGTACAAAATTATTTTAAAGGCAAACAATAATGAAAGATAGGAGCACCTTGTGAATCATTATTTAAAACAGCATTTAAGTTCATTATGTCTGAGAGGAGTTGTGGAATATGGTCATAAGCTCCCTGGATGAATATTGATGAAAGAAAGGCAGCATCATGATAGCATACAATATCACAACATCCAACTGGCCCAACTTGCTTCTTGTTACTACCATTGCTTATTCTTATTTCCACTTCAGTTCTGCAAGTCAACACATGAAAAGGAATACTGCATTTCAGTCTGGATGAAACATACTCCAAAAAAATCCTACATCAACCTAATCTACCTTACCTGTATCCACCCTCTTCAGTGGCACTTAATTGTCAACATTACCAAAAGCAGCTAACTGATTGAAATCCTAAAACCCAAAGTACTGAGACTCATATGCTGAAGTTCCACAATATAAAGCAGCTATATGACCTACACAAGAAAATTTCACAACAGCTTAAAGATCAAGAATCGAATTCAAGTTAACTACTTTCATCAAAACAGAAGTCAACTATAGTATATTTGTTCAATGTCAGTTAGGCTGGATTTTTTTCCATTCAAGCAAGTCCTGAAACTGGTTGGTACCTAAATTAAGTCCCAAAGTACTTAACATTCCTGCATGTTGTTACTGTAGTAATCTTCAACTAGACACCATACCACACAGGTAGAAAGCAACACAAGTCCAAGCGCTGTTGAATATTGAATGTTTTCAACATATCACAGTAACAAATCCACCTGTACTAAATAACATGGAAACTAGCCAGATAGGAACTGACCAGTGTTAATCGTCTATCAAAGTTTCCAGGCCAGGACTTCCAGCTTTCAGAATAACTGCAGACACTTTGGCTTTTGATGTCAATAAGGAAAGAATGTTTATTAAAGTATGCTTATTAATCACAGAAGATTACCAGTGATCAAGTTCATTCTGTTAAGAAAAATCTGGTAATCTTCTGTGATGAACAAAGTGACAAAAATTGGGTCTGGTGAGTTTTGGCACACTATTCGTGCATTTTACTCTCATCTTGATTATGCATCTTCCATGTCTCATAATGTCTTATATACCAGAACATACACAGACATGTTTGAAATCACTTGGTCAAAGAGCAACCTAGGTCTGACCACAGGAAATCTCTCATTGATCGGATTTGGCCCCGAGATGCAGTCCAGAAATGTTCAGCAGAGATGAAGGAGGCAGCACTCCAGTCTCACTGCCTGCAGTGAAGGCATAACTGATGATGAAATAGTAAAACATTAAGCATCTTCAGGGCTGAAAGAGGTACTGAACAAGATTTAGTTAAAATATCCCTACCATTGGACAGTCGCACTGATACGGTGAATAGCACCATTCACAGCGCAAACAGACTAGGATGTTCAGTTCAAAGATTTACACTTTTATCCAACCCAGACTTTCCCTGGGACTTGCCCAATACAGGGCAAATGCTGCCCTACTTGTTGAAACAAGTATTAGAGCTGCAAGGATCTCTGAACACTACCATGTGGCTTTAACAGATGCTGAACTAGCACACAGTAGATCATCTGTCAGCCCTTCAAGTACCATGGACACACAAGCACACACAGTGATGTGTAAAGACTGAAAACTACATTCAGAATTTCCCTGTCTCTAAATACTAGTGCAACAGTGATCAGCTGAAATGATAAAATGAAACTTAAAAATAGTATATTATAAAAATAACTGGAGATATTCCATCAGCTCAACCAGTTCTTCTAGACTGACAGTGAAGACAGATATCTGCATTGTGAAGCCATGCTCTCGTAGGTGATCTTGTCGTCTTGCCTCTTTACTAAGAAATCAGGTTTCTGTGCATATCATTCAGCAACAGCGGCTATAAACTGACAATTGTTGACCTTTCAAGAAACTGAAAATAAAAGAATACCAGCTGGTATGCATAGCAGACCAGAGCCAAGAGAACAATTCTCTACAGTATATACGTTACTACACAATATTGACAAAAGCTTTATTATTTCTTTGTGCTGAAACTGAAGGAGAAATTCTGCCCGACAATTATTCTCTGTTCCAACGAACTGTTTCTTTCACAGCACTGCCCCTGCCAGCTTTCAGCAGGTGTTTTCACAGGAACAGCCATTTCTCTCACTAGACACACTTAAAAAAAATTTCTATATTAAGACCTTCTCATCACACAAACTACAAAGCCAGTGAGGTTGCTACCTGAGACTCAGATAAGGTTAAGCTGTGCTGATCACTTGACTGATTCTTCTTCCAAAGAGCGCTAAACAAAATTTCACATCGTTTTGAAATAACTGGTTGCCTGATGACTGTTTATGTCACCGGCTCTAAGGCTCCAGATGACTGGATTCTTTGTGATTCAGAGAGCTAAAAGCTCCCCAGGTATTTTCTTTCTACATTTTTTAATCTGCTTGAATGAGATGGGACTGATAAGGTGGTTTTTTTTTTAAAAAGCACATAAAATCTCAAACCATCAGGAAATATGAGATTCTGCACTACAAATCTTTTAGCTTCCCATTTCAATTCATTAATTTTTATAAATGGGAAAAAGATAATGGATGGTGCCTAGGGAACTGTAAAGCAGCTCTTCTGCCAAGTGGTACCAGCTAGTTGATAGTTAGACATTTGAATAGCTGCACATAAGCCCCACATTCTTGTGTTACAGTACACAAACTGTTCTCACTACTCTCTCACCACTTGTACATTGATAATTAAATTATGAGTACGTAGCCTTGGTACATACCACATAAGCCTCTGATCACCCACCTGGCAGTTAATGTCCAGAATGCTTCAGTCAAACCTCTGTAAAAGTCTATACCTATTAGGGACTGATCAGGCTAGCATTGTTTAAGGCTAGGTGAAGTATGATGCCCAACATATAGTAAAAGCTAAGAGAATCTGTTTTCTTACCTACAAACCACTTGGACACACAGACACATTAAGCAAAGTCCCTAAGTCACGTTGAAGAAGATGCAAGAATTACTGCAAGGCTCTTTGCAGTCTCATGAGCGCTGCGGAAAGCTAATTTGGTTATCACTTTCCCCAATAGAAGTATCACCACAACAACTAAACCGAAAGGCACATTTCTGTCTGTTTTGCACAGACATAAGTGTTCTGTAATACAAACGTGAATGAGACACACAATACATATCCTGCACATTATCATAGCAGATATTTGCTCCAGACCTCCTTTGTCCATTGATGTGCTTTTCAACAGGTCAGGCTGAAAGGTATCTCACTGTGGGCTTCTGCAAGAAGTCAATCATGCCTCAACTTTATTTGATAAAAATGTTGCCTAGAGTGTTTCTCTGGAGATCCCCTTTGCTTATCTTCAACCCTGTAGTACAGGACACAGCTTCAATATACAACCATCTATGTTGAATGCCTATGTTTATGTTTTGTTTCACGGCTATTCTATTTTCTTTTTTTCTTCTAAATGATGCTACTGGTTTAATTAGCTCCTCAGGATCCCAAGGTTAGCACAGAATGAAGCCAGTTAAGCTCATTAAAACTGAAATAAGCTATGTCAAACATGCACTTGAAGTAGGGAATTGTAGCAACAATCAGATATATTGTATCTTGAAACAGTCTCAATCTTCCTATAAACAGGAAATAGTAGCAGGATCACCAGATTCTTCCCAACCCAAAGAAGGACACACACAGAGGTTAAAGCCTAGAAGGTTTTTCTCATGTGCATGTCCTCATCAAAATCTCCTTTCACAGCCACTGCTGTAACTCTTCTACCTCAAAGAGCTTGAGGCTATTAAAGCATAATAAAGCAGCCGTATTCACAACACAGGAATCCACTTTTTCAACACTGGTAACTTCTATACCCTGTCAGATACCTGATCCGATGTCCTGCTATGTTTCTCCTAGGAATCATAGAAGAGATGGTGGGACATTTACTTGCAGATCATCCAGTTGTAAAATATATTTGGTCTCTATCCAGTTAAACTATTTTTCTTACCTCTCAACTTTTATCACTGAGATGAGAAGGGGACTCCATGCACTTAGTCTCCCGTCTCTTACCTGGATAGCAAATAAATCATTTCTATTACAATAAACTTGTCAATGCCGCTTTAATATGACTTCCTTCTGCTTAAAGGTCTTCTCTGTCATACAGAGAAGTAGGTTTTAGTGTGAAAAAGACTTTACTGAAATACACCTTTAGAAAGTGTGGCATGACAACTTATATGACCCATTTTTCTTCCCAAGGAAATCTCGACTGCACGAACAATATACACTGCAGAGAAGAATAAATGTAATCATTAGTGTAAAAGGAGTGACAGAATCATACATTTGTTTAGAATACAAAAGTAAACTACTATAATGAAATGTAAGTAGTTACCTCCACCAAAGTAAAAAGTAATGCTGCTAAATCTGATTTTATGCGAAGTACGTAACTGCAACAATACGGAAGCTCATGCAAAGAACTAAAATTTGGGCCTAGCGTATAGCAGATGGTCTAGAAATGCAGTAAAAAGAGTTATATCTAAGTCTGTACAGACTTCAAATACCCTTACAGCGGCTCCTAGGTAAAAATCATTACACAAGGCCATTGGAGACAGAACACAAATCTGGCCAAGATACAAAGTTGAACATCTTGCTCCTACAGCAAGTCCATCAGCTTAGTAAGTAGGCATCCACTGTAGCATTATGACCCTAATACAAATGTGGGCCAAACTCTGCCCTTACGTGCATATGTAGAACTCAAAGTCAGTGAGAAAAGCCTGACTCCAGAAAACAGCTCAACTCAGTCAACTAACACTTCTCACACCACCTATGTATGCTTAAGGTCTATTCTACCTTGCCTTAACTTCCCTAAAATTAAAAGACCTATTGAGACTGTAATATGAATGAAACGCTGTAGTGAAAATCTTACCAGTGTTCCATACCTCACATACACAACGTCATAATACATGCTCAGAAATCCACATCCACAAAGGAAAGAGAATAGGTCTTGGACATAAAGCAGATTAAATACTTAGTGACTTCTCTGTGCATAGTATCAGAAACTTTCAAATATAAAAAGTAGGACCACACTTAGTATCACCTATACGTATGCACATGCATGTTTGGCTGAAATTAGTTGTACAAGATAACAACAACAGTATCAAAGATGCACACATACACCCAAATCCAAGACAACCATCCCAAAAACTATCCAAAGTTTTTCAGATCAATGTAAGTAAAGATGAATTTCAAGCTGCAAGAACAAAACTGAAAGAGAAATCTATATTCAAAGCACAAAAAAAGTCATTCTCTCTTCAAGCAGTACGCTTATTTTATGCTGGCTGCAAATCCAGAAAGATGTACTCAGAAAGCTCAAGCAAATAAGTCATCATCCAGGGTTTGCTGCATAAACCACTATATGGTATTGAATCACCTCAGCGAACACTAAATCAGAATGCTAGCATAATCTTCCCCGTTTATCACAAGCAAACATGAGAATTTATGTACAGACTTCCTCTGCACTGTTGTCATTCAATTATTTCATCATTAAGGAAAATTGTTGCTACTGATTAATTTTAATCTACTAATTTGCAGGTATCTTTTTTTTTTTTAAAAACTTCCCCCCACTCCCCATTAATAAACCCTTCAGGATATAAACATTACAAGAAGGTTCTAACCTTACCTGTCCACAAGGAGCATTTTGCAAGGATATGGTAAATGCTCCAGATGTACGGCTTTTTGCAAGAATATACTGGCAGGTAGCTTGGAAAGTGTATTTGCGCCCATCAAAGGTCATGAAATGAATGTCTCCTGAAACTGAACATTCAGCTGACAAACATAACAAATAATGTATTTAGGTATGTAGAAGAGACTGTACTCTCAACAGTTATTACGCTGTAGAGTTCATACACTCTGATATATGCTACAATTTTTTAAATTGTATTCATATTATAACCAGGTTCTAGGAACACTGTTAGGAACTAAACCTTACCTTCACTTTTGTTATGGAGTTCCTACCTGAACGCAGGCCAGGATACCTAAACAATTCTTCCCCCAAAAGGAGGCAATAATATGTCTGATCCTTACATTCTGGCTATTTGACTTGTGTCTCTAAAAAACGATTTGCAGAAACATTAAGCACTCCCACAGTTAACTGATAACTCTGAGACCAGTGCTTAAATCGACTGGCAGCTACAAGAACCATGAGGCCATGGGTACGTTTAACATGCAAAATCCTTTTGACCTTCATCTCTGTAGTTTAGCTGCCTGTCTGTGAAGTGAGAGTAACACCCCTCATTCCACAGGCATGTGAAAATAATTAACTGATATTTGTACAATACCTAGATACTATATTGCTAGCCAGCAGCACTGTGCGGGGAAAAAAGTAACCTTGTCATGATCTGTCAACTGAAGATTGCAGAGGAAACTTTATTTGAATGACAAGAACGACCAGGTAGTGCCGTCTAGCAGAGACATCACGGTGATGTACAGGAAGACACATTACTGCGCTGCGCTGAAAGGCAGATGTCTGATATTCAGACCATTTTAATATTTAATCTACTGTGTGTGTAGATGTGCTTAAATGTAGATAGAAATAAAAATGCAAATTATATCATGGAATATCACATTAAAATCTTACAGTAATATTTTAACCCAAGTAAAAATGCAGTTATTAGTTAAGTATTCAAGAGTTTCACATACCTGGACATGTAAGATTTGTACAAATCCACTTTCCTCCAATGCAAGTGCTGAAATAAAAATAAAAAGGTTTCATACTTTCATTTTTGTGAAGTATCTATGGCTGTTCCTTAGTTATTCTTCCTGGATTCCTCTTCTATGAAATGAGCACCAAGTGTCTTGAGTCTCACAAAAGGGTACAAACAGAGCTACCACAGTCACTAGAATGCCTGGAAGCTGTTGCAAGAACTTGTCATGAGGATACGAACAGCTAAAATTTCATCCATGCATCCAGTAACACTTTTCTTTCTTTTTAGCTCCTTGATAACCATTATAAAAGTTAAGGATGATTAAAATTGAGAAGAATAAATACAAGCAATTTGAATCTTACTACTTTAAAAAAAAATAGAACTGTTGTGAAAAAAAGAAGTTGCACATCTGCAAACTCATCTGTTTCCTTCAATTAATTTGATTAATAAAAGGCATTATGTCTTCCTACAAACTTTTCATTCCAGTGTATAAAATTAACTTAGAAAGTCCCCAAACAGCAGCTTAGTGTCATAATGACATTGGCTCTTTGCATCCAAGTGAGATAGCACAAACAGGAAACACAGTCAAGTCAAAGTAATTCTCCTGCTAAGATTTAGAATTCTAGATTCCTTTTAGTTTCAGGCAGAGTTCAAGGTGAAGAGCATTCTAAACATTACAGTATTCTCTGCAATATCTGTCATTTGCTCTTTTCCCACATTAATAGCTCTATAGTTTCTTTGATCTTTCCCTTCACTGCAAAACACATATAGAACAACAGTTCTTGTATGTAGAAACACTGAGAACTTACCAACTTTATTCAATTTTTAACTGAAATAGGCCTTAAAGAAGTTGTCTTTCATGACCGTGAAAGGATTAAGTCCACAGCACACACAAAAAAAATTACTAACCAGTTATTACAATCGTCATAAACCACTGAGCCCATTTCAAATAAGCTTCCATGGTAGTCACAAGGACAGTCCATAGGCTTGACACACAATTCATTTTCGTAAATTAAGCCTAGAAGAAATAAAACAAGAAAAAAAGTGGAATGCCTGTATAAATAGTGGATGGAACACTAACAAGTATACCCAAAACCAACAAAAATGGTCACGTATGATAATAAGACTAGACTATTTGGCAGCCATTTTTCCAAAACAAATGTGCATTTGAACTATATTAAATAAATTTTATTACATGGACCAAGTCCCTAAATTGCTTGAGATACACTAACAATAGTATGAATAACAAGTATTTTGTAATGGGGGAGAGGGAGGAAACCACACACACACAAAACAAACAAAACCCCAAACACACAAACACCAAACCATGCTGCTTTGAGTACCTTTGGCTTCTTTTTTGACTTCTTTACAAATCTTTGCCTCCATGTTTTAAGGTACTGTTTGGTCCTTATTTTACTATAATTTTTTTTTGCTTTGTGTGGTTTTCTTGTTTGTTTGTTGTGGTTTTTTTTTTTAGTTATTCCATTATTAGAGAGCCAGAAGCTAGAAGACTTTACTAGCCCATAAAAGATAAAATGTATGACAAAGATGATTATACTTATAAATCATATGAGTATGTATAAGAAGCAGGACTTGAAGATCCATGCCATAACTTTCTCTATCCTGTTTTAGATAGAATTATGTACCCAAGAGAAGCCAGTAACAAGGGGAAAACTGAACATCAAAGTATATTTCAGTAATAAGGGTAAAGTTTTGCTATAGGCCACATCAGTAAATACCTCATTTGCCAGAACCACGCAGCAGTGTAAGAATCTCAGTATCAAAACTTGTTTCTGGTCACATGAATGAGTTTTAGTCATGTCATGTTCTCGAGCTCTCCTAAGCACCTGACTTTACAGACATTCTTCAGAGGAAAAAAAAAACCAAAACAACAAACCAAACAAAAAAAAAATAACAAAAAAAAAAAAACACCACCAAAAAACCCCAACCCACCAAAATACCCACCCTCCAAAAAAACTGAACAGCAACCACCAAAATCAGGCAGATGGCTGCCCTGTCAACAACAGAGCAAACCCCATTTTTCGTTCAAATTGTGCAGCTCTACAGCTAGAATGTGGATCTGCGCTGAAATCTATTCCCACTTGTTAGAGGGAAGAAAAGGCTCTTGTCAGTTATGAGGAAAAGAAGGTCATTCATCCATGCTCCGTTTGTGCTGCATTTATGAGGAGCTCCTATGAATTCCTTAATCTAGCCATGCCATATAGGCATGTAAACTTGGGGAGAATAATCTGAAAGTTACATAGAATCAAATAACATGTATTTGAGAAGCAAAACTTACCATCTGGACAGTAGCATCCATCAATGCAGGGAAGCTCACTGTCGATGCACTGTGATTGCTGATGACATGAGACAGGGCAACAGCTGATGCATTCATTGTAGGTCAAGGGTTCAGCGCAGGTAATCACTAAAAAATAGAAACAGGTAGAGAAATGAAAATGTACTGTGATATTGCCTCAGTGTTTAAGTAAGTTGCGCATGTTTCTTTCAGGTATTTACTTTTTGGTAAGTCAACTGAGTATCTGTTGTCTAGAACAATGAAACAATGGCTTTCATAACAGACACAGAATATACATGTATTCATATTCTGTCCATTAAATGTGCATTGAGAAGAAATAATTTTAAGTTACACCAAGGGAGACTCAGGGAAACTTTCTCACTGCAGAGCTATTTAGATACTTAGACCAGCACAGGAAGTGGCAGAACATCCATTAACCAACATTTATGGAAACATAAAGGAAATCTTCTGTCATGAATGACAAAGCAGTTTTGGTTCTGTGTTCCAAACAGGCAGACAAATTAGATGATCTCTCTCTAACTTACTTTCTGTGACTTCTAAGATGAAGACTTATGCAAGTGTAAATCAAATTTATTTTTAACACTCATGACACACATTTTATATATCAGAAAGTCATGAAGACTTTGACAAAATTTGAAAGAGTAGCTCTATGAAAAAACAAATGGTTAGTCATCTTAAAAGAATCTCTGATGTTTTAGTAAGAAGGTTGTTGAAACCCATTCTAATAAGTTTAATGCTTTAAATACCTTCAGTACAAATTACACATATAAAAAAGAAATTCCATTGCATTTATGTAGACTTGAAGTAAGTCCATAGTTATGCTTTCATTGAGAACTATATGAGTGCAAAATACGAGGAAGGACAAAGAAGTAAAAGAATGAAGAGCACTCTTTTCAAAATACAACTACTAAACAGTATTTCCAAGTATGAAAGCACCCACATACCACATTGCTGAAAGTACATTCGCCATCCATGAAGTGGCTTTCCTGCCTGCGCACATGCTCTGGCATATTCAGTTAATGCTCGACACCAAGTTGCATTATCAACTGCTGACCTTACACAAATAAAAATTGACATATTATTTTCTACCTACATTCAAACATAAAATCATAACCTTATGAATGCTCTTGCACTGCATACAACCACATTGTTTGAATCTACTTTAATAACATTCTAAAGTACTGTGTTGTTTGGCTAGGTTAAAATCTTTAAATGGAAAAGACATTCTGCCATACTTGAAGACAGGTCTTCAATATATTTTAGACCTGACGCTAATTTCCTGAATGAATCCATGAAAGCCAGAGATACAGCAGTATAAACAGACTTGAATAAAGGTCTTGATTTTTACAAAAGGAATAATGTCCTTCAGAAAATTCACAAGAAGAAAGCATAAGATTTCCACCAGTGAGTCACCATGGTATGAGAAATGGAAACTACCTTCTCCTGTCCTGCCTGTTAATTTAACTAGTCAAAATTGCTTGGACAAGGAGCATAGCAAGTTGTGAAATAACAAATTCAAATAGTAATCAAATTCCTCTTTTCATTGAATTAACATATGGCTTACATATGTCAAATTGACCTATCCACTATTACTTTTCATTAAGGTTAGAAATACTAATGATCTTGCACACTCAGAATCAAAACAGATGCCATACTCAAGGGAAGGTACACTAACGAATTATGAAAATATCTGGGCCTGATTTTGGTCATCATTATACCAAAGAAAACAGGAACAACTCCACAGAAATTTCTGACAGTGAAACTAGAACAAGAGAGAAAAGCAAGATAATCAAAGAATGTTAGATAAAAACTAATACGAAGAAAAAGACACACATTAGTTCTGTTAACACTTACAATTCATTCTCATGATAGAAGGACAATTTTTTTAAAAATAGCTTTGGAATTATCCAAAAACATTCACTTACATGCAAAGATCATTGCTGCAGCTTGCCATAAAAGGAAGAGGACTCACATATTTATGACATTGTTCAAACGGGGGATGTAACAGGTTATTGCACAGAGTGTATGCCCTCTGAAATGAACAAGATAGCTGTTGTGAAGAGAAAGTTCTCAAAAATAAACCTAAACAGAATAGAATATTATGGAAAATCAGAATAGACATCTCGATCTGCAACTAGGAATCACTTTCCTCTCATCAACTAGAAGCAGTGGCTAGCAACATGTTACTCTCCATGCCAGAGTATTCATAACATTGAATCTTTTATCCAAGGTCATACCAGCGGTAGTAAAACGTAACCCCTCCCCAAGAAGGGCATAGACCATGTTGCAGCTAAGCCCAGATGACCTGAAATAGTCTTCGTTCTAGTTAAATTACACAGTAAAAGGCAACAGAAATAAGACATGCCTGGCATCAGCTTTAGTTTCAACACACTTCATTTCAAGGTTATATCTTGAAAATTTTACTTAGAAGGAAAAACCTACTTCAATGTGATGGACAAAAGTAACAATAATTCATGTTTTTAAACACTGGCAAATTAACTGTACTCTCATTCTGGTTTTGCCTAGCTGCTTCTATCCTTCCTAAGGGAAGGAATGCTCTAGAACCCACCCCTACTTTACAGCCTTTCACTCATTTAGACCCAGATTCAAACACTTCTGTTGGCTGCCATGCTGACAATATAATATTTGAAAAGATCAAGAATTAAATACGGAAGTGGTGAGAAAAGGAGAGAACAAGGGAAGTTCTGCTGCAGCAACCACCTCTCCAAAGAATAACTGCAAATACTTCCAGTCTCCTTCAAAGCATTAAGGCAAATTCTCACTCTAATTAGAACCACCAACTATTGTAATAATCTTTGTGTGTTGATCCAAACCTGCAGAGATTCATGGCTTTGTGTCAGGCAGGGTGGTTCATTAAGAAGATATTTATCCCAATTGGGTGTTCCTTGTGGAGGATTTTCCTGCCAACTCTCTACGAATTCTGTTACATCGTCTGTCAGTTTTCCTAAACAAGACACACACACAGAGTCACATAGCGACTTGGAAGAACAACAGTGTTTCTACAGGATTTCCCAGGGAAACATCACAATAATCAAAACACCACACTAAGCAGAGTGCGCCAAACCCTTCCTACAACTAAATGAATCGGCTGTTAGTCCGAAAACAATCTGGTCCTTTCAAGAAACAAAAATATTTTTAAAAAGGAGTGTAGTAGGAAGGCTCTAGAATGGCAGAAAGAAGCTTACTCAGGCAATTTGGCAAGGAAGGGCTTCAAGGGTGCAAGGCTGCGCCTGCCACAGTCCTTGAATGGAAGGAAAGGACAGAAAAGCTGTAATAAACTGTATTACATATACACAGTTCATGCTGTTACTTTATATGAAATTCCCAACAAAGAGTCTAAAACCCAAGAAAGATAAAAAGTCACTGCAATGGTACAAGATGATTGTCTACATTAACCAACTAAAGGTGTGACTTTATTACATAAGTAGCAATGTCCACGCTAGCATTAAAATAGCTAAGAAAGGTATTATCCATCACAGACAAGTGGTGATCTTGCTTACTGCTTGGACTATCCATGAATGCATATCTTGCCATATCTTTCTTACTACTGCTCCCCAAGCTAATTGGATAAAGCTAGTACACAGTGTATCGACCTGTGCTACAACTGCAGCTTTAGGCGACTGAGATATCCTGAGAAAGGGGAGATGACAGACAAAAGTCTCTGAAGGCAACGTGGACAATGAGCTATTGATCTCGATATTAGTTTAAGCACTTTGATTTGGTGAGCAAACTATTCTATTGGGGTAAGGACTGATAATACTAGAGGGCTGATGCTTTCTGAAATTGAGTGGCATGCATAAACAAGAGAGGAAACCTACCACATATACTCTACAGAAATATTTTAATTTTAAAGAGGAGAAGCAAAGATTTAAACAGCCCAAAGTGATGATTTCCAGAAGTTTTTGTCTAACTTGAGATACTTTCAAGGGGCTTGATTTTTTTTTTCCCCTGGGTCTTTTTATTTTATAGAGGTCTTCACTCAGTATCTATTGAAAGCCAAGACTATTGGAAGTATCTGAAGTTGGTACTGAAGGATCATTGGTCACTTCTGAAAGTGTTAGCATAAATGAAATGTCAGATTAAACAAGATTTGGTAGTCTTAATTTATCTGATGGATCAATTAAAATTATTGATTTATTTCCAATAGCAATATCTCAGGTTTCCACAGGCTGGAAAATTGCTAAAAGGGCAAACATTTAAAAGTAGGTTTTACCTTTCAGGTCCTAGGAAACTGAAGTACAAATACCATTGTAGGTAGCTGAGTAAGGCAGCTTTTAAAAGATCTTCCTCCCTAGAATCCCATCTGTATTGAAATTGACCCTCTTCACTAACAACATCATCTACCAGAAGTACTTCCATATCATATTTTCCATTTCAAAAGTTGCCCATCTTAAATTCAATTAGCATTACAATTCAAAACTAAGCAAAGTAACATTTATTTTACCTGAAAAAACCATGTGTTATACAAGAGGAAGTATTTTAAGTACTCACCATAACTAGTTTCAAGATCATCCTGCAGGATAGCGTTATTGTTCCCACACAGTCCATGGGTTTTGCCCAGGTACTCTGGTGCCATTTTGATATACACTGCGGAAGTACCATCCCAAGCCAGAGTAAAGGCATACTGGTGCCTGACTAGGAAGTATCCAGCTAGTTTCTGGATGTGCAAGTTTCCAATAACATAAGGTAATTGTATTCTGAAATGACACAGAATCAAAAACAACTTTACATGAGAAAATATCACCATTAAAAATAATTTACTTGCTGATTTAATGATGTCCTCATACATCTGAAAATCTGTGATGTAAATATTGAGTAACTCCACTAAAAAAATATGAAGATGCAAATAACAGCAAAAATCAAAGGATGAATGTCAATGGTTATACCTCTTAATACTATATACTGCTTATTTAGATTATCACCTTCCTCAGACACTACTCTGTAGATGGGTAATAATTATTACAGCTGTGGTCTGGATACTTTTAAGCTACCAACAAGTAAGAACTCGTTTACATCTCTCTTACCAAAATGGTACCATGAGATTGATTCCAGTGTAACTACAGCATCAGAAACATGAGGGCAATTACCGAAATCCTTTATAGGTGACTTCACTGCTCATCTTTATCTGTTCATCTCCAGAAAAGAATAAACTAACAGACCGTTTACAGGAATAAGGAGAAGAATGGCATTCAGGATCATTATTCACCTGCCAAATAAAATCACTAGTGTTAAAGTCAAGTTTTTAATCAAATTCTTTGTAATCCACGTGTTACACAACTAATATTCCCAATCCTGCGCTCAGCATGCAAACAAGTAGTTTGGTCCCACTACTCCCCAAAAAAGTGAGTACAATTAGCACTCTTCTTGGAGTGGTCTTTTCACAGCAGCAGGCTTTGAAAGCACATGTTAGTTTTCTTCCAGCTGTTTATATTTTCTGTTATAGTAACTAGTAGCCCACATCAGGTTAGGGTTACATCTAGATTACATTCTAGAACCCCATACTATTACCTTAAGTCATTTTTAATCTCTTAAAATTAATGCATTATTAGCATGTTCAACAATAGTTAATAGGAATGTAGAAGTACAGTCCCCTACCTGTATGGAAAAACTCTGTTCATCTAATTCAGTATGTCTCACAAGCGCATATGTGGATTTCCCAGAAAAGTAATAATAGAGTCCATCAAAAGTTTCAAAATTATATTGACCCCATGTTCTGCATATATGATCTCTTTCAGCACCTGTGTTATACACTAAGAAAAAGAGTCACTTGAGACAAAGCACTGGTTTTTGGATTCAACCTGTAATTGAGATGTAGTACTGTATGTGTCATGCTGTGAAACATCACCACAGAAAAGAAAGGGCAGGAAAAATACTAGAGCATGAAGGAACCTTTAGGCAGAGATTAGTCATCGTTGTAGCTGTGGGAACCAGAGTACAATCCCAGAAACCCTGGTAGTTTTCTCTCTTTACACACCTGTCTGGCATCTTGGTCCAGTTGCATTAAATCGACTGCAGTTGCACAGCTCTCTGTAGACACATTCACCACCATTAAAACAGGTAAGTGAATCTGAGTGGAAAAATAAAAGGCATGTTAAAAATAAATTCTGATAATTTTCATTCTTAAGACCCAGTTCTGTCACCAAATGTAACTCTATGAACAACAGGAGATGCTGGTGTTGCATTTAAGTGTCCAGAAGAATCCCACAGGCCTCCACAAACACGAAACACACTGCAAAAGCTTCATCTCAAGAAATACAGCCAGATGAAGTAAATCTACTGCAGTAAATTCATTGCAGCCAAATCAAAATGGCTGCGATATCTGTTAGTCTGACATGTTTTCAGTCCACTAAACAATGAACAGAGGAAGTAAACACGTGCTACATAAGAAAACAGCATGGCGCCTGTATCCTTATATATAAAGCTGCTATAAATAACACTCTATTGGTAAGCTCTACTAGGATGAGAGCATACTACCCTAGAAATACAAATGTTGAGATTCCAGCTGTAAATCTTTCAGCTGCCTGCCCTCCTTCCATCTTGCAATTTTTAAGTATACCAACCACAAGTACATTCCATAAAGACACAGACCACTGCTCTTTTTTCTAATTTTATTAGAGACAAAATTTTAAGCAAGGAAAAATTTAATGCTTACGTATAGCGAGCCTACTGTAGAGAAAGCAAGCTCCCTGATTTGCAATGACAGGTTTGAGGGAGGGAGGTGTTGGGTATTTTTCACTTTTTATTTTCCCTGGGAAGATCTCCATCAAAATCTGACAAAACAAGTTTTTACAGTCTAAGGAAAGATGTGCACAAGCAGAAACAAAGCTTCTTGCTACTAAATTTAGACTTTGTGATTAAATACTTTTCTAACAATTATGATATATTCACTTATTTTGCTAACATTTGATCTTTTAAAATTTAAATCTCTTTAGGAAAGATTTTGAATTTTAATTATTATGCAACCACAGTAATTTTTGTGTTTGTAGAACAGAAACTGAGATTGTATTTGTTCCAGACAAGCTGCTCAGAAGAAACTGTTTCAGGAAAAGACAATCTGAAGACTCAGCCTTCTTGTTTTCTTTAACTTTATAAACACATCATACCTGAAAAATAATCTTATATATGAATTTTTAAGTGCTGTCGTGAAATCAGAATTCACAGAATATCTTTTCCTCCATTTCAGTAAAATCCTCATTTATGAAATATCAAATCATCAGTAGTATATGCAGAAGTCCTAACTTACCTAGATTACCTTCAGGCTTTTGAGAAAGCTTTGCTAAAGAGGGTTTGAAGTTTTGCTGATACAGGCAAAATAAAGCAAGCTCCACTTCTGACAATCTAAATAAACTCTACAATTGATTTAGTCTTGACAGAATTAGACTTCAGAGAAAAGCGTTCTAGGATACAGACCACTTTTATGATTTCATCGGTCACATCATCTTTAAGTTTTGTTCTCACTATTAGCATTCACAAAACATACACAAAAAGTACCAATATCAAAAGTAGATTCTGAACTACTACTACTTCTGAACATACTGTACAGAATGGTCAAAATTTTTTTTATAAACCAATTGCAAGGAAACAAATGCATTCTAAGAAGTCAGGAGTTGATCGCTGACATCTTACTACCATTAAATGGATGCACAATTCTTGATTCCAGCAATAGCAACAGAAAAATATTTCAAAGGGTGTTTTCTCCCTACCTAATTTTTCTCCCCTCTTCTAGAAGCTCATTTTATTGCTGTTTTACCAACACCAATTTCCTATCAACATCTTTTACAAGCACATATTTAGTTTGTTTTGCCAGCATCAGAGAACATTAATAGAAGCTCCATTACAGAAGCCAGTGAGCCACACCCTCCTACTAAGAGCTTCAAATACAATAAAATAATCCAAAGAGCAGGCTGCACGTGGAGGGTGTCCTGTGAGTGTAGCCCCAGCCAAAAGTAACTAAACCTCTGATAGAAATCAGAAACAGCATTTTTAACAAGATGCTACAAACACCCTCCAGCTTCCTTTTAAGCCCCTACTTTAGCTCAAGTAAGACTTCCAAACACCTCGTAAAAACCTCACCTGGTTTGCAAGTGTATCTACCCACACAAATTGCTTTCCGATACACACACCAAGTAACTGTGCACCCAACATTTAATTTGCATGCAAACTTTTATCAGAATTCATGGATTGAATGCTGTTAAAACTTTGCCTTTTGTGAGGCTACCTCAAAATTCATCATCAGTTGTTTTACCAAAGTGGGGTCAATGTAGAAGTTTAATGAGGAAAAAGGTCGTATTTAAAGTTTCTTCTGCTTTGTGAGATGCTAGAAGCTTAGAAGAAAGAGGCTCTGTGCTCACAACTGGCTATAATTTTTGAATGAGGAAGACTTCAAGAAATTTATGGTGTACCATAATTTAAAAAAAAAAAAACAAAAAAAGCTTACATGTTCATCTACTTTCAGCCACATGATTTTTACAAAATATTATCTTGTTACAAGTTTACAGAACCCTTGCTTACTGAATTCTGCCAAAATCTGTCAGTACAGTTTATTGGTGTTTATGTGATCATTTCCATTTGCAAAAACATTATACATACTAATCACTTATATGAAGACTCTTAAAATAACCAAATCATTAATTTCGACTCCTTTGTTTTCAACACACACCACCACGTCAAAAAAAAAAAAAAAAAAGCAAAGCTGTGTTGAAAAGAACAAGGCACATAGATAAAGTAAAAGAGAACACTCCTTTGCCTAGCTAGCCCAAATATCTAGTTCCTTTCCCTGCCAGGCCAGCATGAGTTCAGCTTAAAAACTAATGCAAGCACCATGTAGAAAGGTCCCTACTCATTCTGACTGAGCCATCTCATTTACATACTTACAGTAACCAATCTTGTCACTAACGCAAAAGCCTTATTCCTCTTGTCAAGAGAGGCAGACATTGATCTCTTTCATCTTGAGTGGTGTGAGACTCGTGTAATCCAAGCTCAGGTCTCTGTTCTTGGCTTCTCTAAGATTATGCCCTATTGCCTGTCCGGTTACAATAATCTGCAATTAGACTGCAAGTCATGTTCCTCTTAGCTGCAGAGGAAGTTAGACTCCTTTTGATGTTTCGGGTTGAACGATTGGCCTTTAAGCACAGCTCAGGTAACCTGCTTCAAGACACATTTATTCAGATTGTGCACAGTCAGTTGCTCTGGGGACCCTTGCTGTAACTGGGAAGGATCTCCCTTGCCCCCCTTTAAAGAGAAAGAGAGTTAGTCAAATCTGATTTGGAAGTCAAATGAGCCAATGATAAACATTTTCCTCTTTATGAAGTTCTCTTCTGTCTGTGTATGTATGATTCTAAGAAAACGTGTGATGGGTTGACCCTGGCTGGATGGCAGGTGCCCTCTGTCACTCCCTTCCTCAGCTGCACACGGGAAAGAAAAATATAATGAAAGGCTTATGGGTCAAAATAAGGACAGGGACAAATCACTTGGCAATTACCATCACAATCAAAACAGACTCAACTTGGGGAAATTAGTTTAGTTTATTACCAATCAAATCAGAGTAGGACAATGAGAACTAGACCCAAATCTTAAAAACACCTTCCACCCCATCACTCCGTTCTTCCCAGCCTTAACTGTACTCCCAATTTTCTCTGCCTCCTTCCCCCAGCAGCCCAGGGGAACAGGGAATGGGGGTTGTGGTCAGTTCATCACCCATTGTCTCTGCCACTCCGTCCTCCTCAGGGGGAAGACTCCTCACCCTCTGTCCCTGCTCCAGCCTGGGGTCCCTCCCACAGGAGACTGCTCTCCAAAAACTGCTCCAGCATGGGCCCCTGTCCACAGAGTGCAGCCCTTCAGGCACAGATTGCTCCAGTCTGGGTCTCCCATGGGGTCACAAGCCCGGTCAGCAAACCTGTTCCAGCCTGGGCTCCTCTCTCCACAGGGCCTACCAGGAGCCTGCTCCAGCAAGGGCTTCCCACAGGGTCCCAGCCTCCTGTGGGCATCCCCCTACTCTGGCATGGGGTCCTCCCTGGGCTGCAGGTGGGGATCTGCTCCAGTGTGGGCCTCCATGGGCTGCCGGAGGACAGCCGGCCTCACCATGGGCTGCACCAGGGGCTGGCAGCAAATCTCTGCTTCAGGTCTGCAGCACCTCCTCCTCCTGCTGCTGCACTCACCTGGGGGCTGCTCTTTTCATATATTCTCACTCCTCTCTCCACAGCTGCTGCCACACAGCAACTTCTTCCCCTTCTTAACTATGTCGTGACAGAGGCACTGCCACCATTGCTGATGGGCTTGGCCTTGTCCAGCAGCTGGTCCATCTTGGAGCCGGCTGGCATTGGCTCCATTGGACATAGGGGAAGCTTCCAGCAGCTTCTCACAGAAGTCACCCCTGTAGCCCCCACTCTACCAAAATCTTGCAACGCAAACCCAGTACATCATCATAAACATAGTTCTTGTATTTGCTTATACCCCTTTTTACATCACTGTAGTATCTTTCCTTATACTGCATAGGAGAGTTCTGTGTGCAAAGATTAGCTACCCTTAACCAGGCAATGAGGGGAATAATGTTGATTCAGATGACATTTAGCGATCTTACTATTGCAAACAATGTGGCCTCCTTTAATCATCTAACTGTGCTCAATTAACACAGGAATACTTCCTCAGGTATCCAGAATAAACATCCTATAACAAATGGTTCACTCTGATCTTTGTCATTAAAGGAATATAAGTTCCCCATATAAGCTAACCCATATGATCACAAGCTTAGGTCTCTCCTAGGGAGATGAGAAACATTGCGACACCTGTAGAAAGGACCTAAACATCAGAACTAAGCAAAGGTTAAAATTAGGAAAGGTTAGGGAAGAATACTGTGTCCTTCATTCACCTGAAAGTGACCTCTATTAAAAAGTCCTTAGCTGCTCTTTTTCTGTTGACGTTATGCCAGTTGAATGCATCAGGTTGGAACCTGAAATTGAAAACTGGTGAGACTTCTCTAGCAGAAAGTGGTAGGCCTAAGTAACATGATTCGACTCACATTAGTAATGATGTGATTTCTAACCAGTGGTGCCATTACTACCTGCAAGT